ATTCTGGAATTGATTCCAGACTGCCGGTTTGACTGCTCGGACCATTCCTGGCTTACGTCCCATCAGTTCCAGGACTGTATGGAACAGACTGAGGGAACACAACATCCGGCCCCAATATCACCGATAGCCACGTCTTGACTGGTGCAGACAGCATCTATGGTACTGGAGACAATAATGGGATGGTGTTTTGTTCACTGACCAGTCGAGATTTCTTCTGAAATTTTGATATTATCATGTCAATAGTTAAACAGTGATTACGGAAAACATCACAAATCATGTAATCATCTCCTTGCATGAAAACATGGCAAAGCATCAAATAATGCACAGTCAGTTAATTTATTCCAGTAGTATATTTCGCAGATTAAAAGGGTACTGATCCAGAGCGATTCATGTTTCGCACCAATATGAACATGAATGGCTCCACGACAATGTTTCGCGGCACAAGTACTGGGTGTTGCTTTCTATTGGTTTTACTGAATAGTAACTATTTCATGTATTTTGTATCATTAAGTGACCCTCAGATTGTATTAATGAATATTTCTTTCATCGGGTATCTGTGATTTCTTGTCGACAAGATGTTTATATTCTATTGTGGGCCCACATTCGCATGTCCTATGTAGTGTGAAAGAGTAAGTTACTTCCCTTGAATCAGGGAAAAAGCGGTTCCGCCCAGCACAACAACGCAAGGCCTCACATCGCCAGACTGACTGAGTTTAGTTTTCGCCGCTTTTAGCAATATTCCAGCAATATCACGGCGGGGGACACCAGAAATGTCACATCGCCAGAAATCACAACATAGAACAAACTTTATGGATAACAACTTATATTTCATGAGTGCGACGTTTCGATACAGATTCTTATTCCGTTCTCCTGCTTGACAACAGTATAAGAATCTGTATCGAAACGTCACACTCATGAAATAAAAGAAGTTGTTATCCATAAAGTTTGTGCTATATTGTACTTCCCAACTTCTAAAAATGCCACTCAAAAAGTTATCTGCCAGAAATTGTACGAGAATACCCGCACAACGTTAACGTCAACGTATTGCCTTGGCCAGCCTGTTTTCTGCGACCTTCTTGATTATGAGCTGAGACAGCGTGTACCAACTCCAGTGAACCAACAGGAAATTGGAACAAACTCTCTTGGATTTATGAAACAGGATTTGCTGACGTAATCCGCCCACCGACGACTGTTGGCCCAGCGTGGTCACACGCTATTGATGAAGTGTCCCCTAACTCCTGTCTCATTATGGGACTCTTTGTGTACTTATTGAATGAACTGTTGCTTTCTTATTTTGACCTCTTGACCCTCATCTAATCTGCTGCTTTTAAGATTGCAAAGACAAGTCTGCGTGCCATGCAGTGTATATTTACTGAGATGGGACTTTCATTGCAAGCAAGTGTGGCAACTCCACCTGTTCTATAGCTACCTGTCATGACTGAAGCACCTTCAGACCCAAATGCTGTTATTTCAGTCCACTGTCCATCCAACTTACATAAATTCTTTTACTTTCGTAAAAATAACAACAGCATTATCAGCTGAAATTGATTCCAAACTGACAGTTTGACTGATCGGACCATTCCTGGCTTACGTCCAATCAGTTTCAGTTTTGTAAATTTTACAACAGCAATATCGCTTTACACCAAGCCTCACATTTCCAAGCAAGAAAAGCCTTTCAAAAGGCAACGTTGGAGGCGCTGAGTACATTAAGAAATTTAGTGAGAAAGACGTGAGATTATTTGGGGGTGAAGCTGATTTCAAGAGGATCACGATGACTACACCTCCGTCTATTCAGGGCATGCTTCTATTAGAGATCGGAACTCGCATCGCAAATACGGTACTCATCTCCAGTGTATGACATTTCATATCAAAGGTCTTTGTCAGGTCTCACCATGTCTGGAAATGAAGTACTTGTGACAGACGGAGGAAACATGGTCCTATATATTGTTTCTATTTTATGGTGGATGGTAACGAGTCATCAGAACAATACATGTTCCCCTATCCCCCGCTTATTTGCAAAAATCGTGTGAATCCTACCTCTTCATGGATCGTAAAGGTTTGTTTCCTCTATAGATTTGTCAGCTCCCAAAGGATGGGAAAAGGTGCCATACCGTAACCCTAAACCAGGTCCTAACCCTGAGGATTGTTGACTGGCAGCGAAGTGAGACGGAGCATGAGACAGTACTTGAGCGCAGTAGCGCTATAGCACGATAATTGCTCCGCAACGGGGTAAAGTGCTCTCTAGCCAAGGAATTCATCCATCCCCATACAGAATCCAAACCTAACTTGTTTTCATATCTAAGACTTGTTCAGAATTACCCACATCGTCACGTGGCTCCGATTTAGCAACAGGTATGTTCATTGGTCATTGCCAAAATACAAAGAGACTAAGTATCATTGGCTGAAAGCTATTTTGAAGATTCCACATATATATATATTGATATGTATATACAGATATAAATTTCAACTGAGAGAAAATTCAGCCTGATTATAAGGTTGGCGACGTTTGCGCCTAACCAATAACAGAGATTCAGATTCCTTTTGTTCAGTCACAATGTGGCCATTTAACACACGCTTCTTGGTGATATTAATGTCTATACTGCTGTAAATAAACATTCAATGTTGTTTTTGGTCAATATTCTCCTGAATAACATCAGCAAAAGACTTTGAAATTCATCAGAGGTTATTCTAGAATATGATATGATGCATTTTGGCCAACACCAAATCTCTCAATATTTTCCCACCCATCAAGCCCTAGGTGTTCTGGTACAGATAGTTATTTCAAGGTTGTATCATCTTCCTCAATTAACCAGTAGACAGTTTTCATTGAAGACATTTCTCTATCCATTTTGTGACAATTCAAAAGCAGCCCAACTAACATTTCTTGTAATCACTTCCTCTATCAAAGCCGTTTGTACTGCATATCTCCCAGTCTGTAAGCTACTTATAGACAAGGAATTCCTTCAAATACTTCACATATTTACAGGGTTTGATACAGATATGTACACTTTGCGAATATTAGATTTCAATTTTAGTTTAGTTAGCCACATTCATGGTTTTTTGGGTGTATGAAATGTAAACTTGGTGCCAGATATGCAAATACACGCCCTTAATGCAACACCAAAATTGGTAATTGCTTGACATTTTTTTGTTGCTTTTCTTTTACAAGTATATTTCTGGTAAACGTACTGTTTTGACTTCGAAATTGACACACACACACAGTATACAGAACACGTAAAGTGAAAACATCTTTAATACAGCTCATGAATTTACATACACATCCCCATTATGCCTCAATGGGATGATCCAGGCATGCACAGCAAACGCTCTTCAATAAAAGTGAATGGAGAGCAAAGGTTTGAAAATAGCATCAAGGCACATTTCCTCACCAGGTATGTTCAAAGTTGTACTTAAAACTGGCTGTAATGTGGACTCGTTTATGAGTGAGGACAGTATGAACCCTGTGTAACATTCTATGAACTGTAAGAAACATGATGATGGTGCCAACAATTATGTAAAGTATCATTACATTTGTTAAAGTTTCTGAGTTGTTTAAAGATATTTCATTTTCACTAACTCCTCAGCAACAGCCAAAGATGGTCGTGCTTTACAGAAACTTACATGCCTAATTCTTTTTTTATATATTTAAAACATATTTCTGTCCAAATGGGAGGGCAACAAATTCTTATAAATGTTATTGATACTATCATTCTATTATTCTTTTTTAATCATTCATATTTTCTAAAATTCATACTGAAGACCATCCAGGAGGCAGGAGACCTATTGTAATCGTTCGGATTATTATTATTATTATTTATTATTCCGACGATTTTTGTTCCAAACATAACTCCTAAACCAATGCTTCGAATCTCTTACCAAAAATCACACAGATGCACTGAGGTGTAGAATATTCCCCTTAAAAATCTCTAGGCTCTTGGCCCAATAGCAAAAGGGAGATAATTCAAAATTAATTCCAAAATTTCAACGTTTGACAGCAAATATCTCAAGAACTAATTGTTCCAACACTTCCAAATTTCTTGTACAGATGCACAATTGAATTCCCAACAATTTTGCCTGGACGGGTCAAGTCGCTAAAACGTACCGTTTGGCAGTTATTTTTGTTTTCAGTTTTTGGACATGTTTTTCAGCAGTTTTCTGAGTAGTTTGCTCCCAAAATGTGCCAGTATGGTAGATGATGTCTTGGTGATTCCAGAACACTAATTGTTTTGACCGTAGACCCAAGAACAACTGAGATACAGCCTTTTAAAGAGGGAACTATTTCTTCTCCGGTACTTTTAAAAGGTACATGACCCCTGCGACCCCGGCTGTATTTGGGAGATCCGCGCGCCTGTCAAAACATGTGTTCTGGCTTCGTTTTGGACGATGATATCTAGTCCTCAGTTACAATTGATAGAAGGTAAAGCCAAGGAGACCTCATCGTTGCCTGCAACTATATTTACATGTGTCATTCTATTAAATGAATAATGATATCACTAAAAATAATGATGCCACACAAATCTTACAATTGCAGTACTTGTCTTGCTAATTATGGTATCAAACAAAACCCTATATGTCACTGTTTTAAAAACAATGAATTGAAGTAATTCAATGAATAACTTATTAAACCTTGTACATCCTCAGTAATAGACTGATAATGTCAGCTCATGAGGTGCAAGATATTGCTTTCTCATAAGCTGTTACATGTATAATGTATGTTATGAATCATGTGGCATTTGTAAATCCTTTAAATAGAATTTTTTTTCATAAGTGAGCTGCAGCTTTGAATCTGTCTCCTGCCTGCAACTATTTTGAAAGATCCTTCACATCTACTCTTCATGTGTTTCTGTCACAAACATGCAGCATTAATTGCCTTAAATTAATGAAATCACCAGTCTTTGCTTATGGGTATGGACAGGAAACAGAAATCCAAGGCATTTTAAACACACACTTCACGTAATTTACTATTCTCACATTTGAAATGCACAAATTGACATGATATGTATGATGCATTCAGTTTATTGTCATGTTTGATGTAATGCAATACATGAAAACACATCCCCAAGCAAATGTTGCTGGCACGAACAAACACGAGTATCTTTCATATACAAACTTTGAAGAAAAGTTAATATTTTTTTTACTTTACTGCTGTGAATACATTTGAGTCCTATTATAGTGCTAGCTAACCTCATCAAAAGGCATATCCGTTTAGCCAGTGTGACGATAAAGTCAAAAGGTAACCAATGGGCAAATAGCAAACAACATGCCATGCCATAAGCTCACCTGGACCCCTGGTCGTGGTGAACGAGATATAAATATGTAATCATGTGACTGATTCGTACTAAAACAACTCACTTGCCAAAAAATCATAATACAAGATAGTGTACATTAACTGGTTCCATAAATGACATAAGTGCCTAACCATAATTATTGTAAGTTTCTTTTACTGTACAACATTTCAGGAATTAAACACCTAAGAGATAAAAAAACATAACTCTTTAATTATTTTAACTTTATGCATAATGTTGTCTTTAATTGAAATAATTACATCAATTATTGATGAGTTTAGCTTGGAAGGTGCCATCAACAAAATCTTAATTTGGACTTTGAAATATACTAACTGTACATTATCCAAAAAGTGAAATTGTTATGACTAATGAAAGAACAAATTAACAGGAACTTGACTGACATAGGTAGTTTGTTCTAGTCACTGTTGATGAAGAGGTGTTGTCATGCCACGTGGGTCAGGTCCAGGGCCAGTGGGTGCTTCAAGGTTTACTTGCAGCTGAGAAAGCCATCTTTTGGTAGAGTTATCATCTTTAAGACATGTGGCAAATGTGCTGTCTTTGAGTTGGTCTGGTAGGCACTGGCGTAAGGCTTCACATGCTCTGTGAAAAAGGACAATAGAAGTTTCAGTAATTAACATTTCAAAACACAATAAATACTTTATGTTCCACCACATTTCCTGAAGGAATTGTGCACAGTTGTCATCCTTGAACAAATCATACAGCAACCAGGACAAACATTTACAAATTGCATTGGGACAGAAACAGCAACAATGCTGCTCCCTAGGAGTTGATTAACTGAAATGCTATATCATGAGGAATTGGCCAACATGGGAAAAACACCAACCTATTCAACCATAAAGTCACTACTGACCAACCCAAAACAAACAATGCCTTTTAGAAAATGCAACAATAAAATGCAACATGTTGTCTTCTGCGACATAAGTAATGCCTTTGATAATGCCTTATTGATAAACTGAAAAGTTATGGTATCAAAGGCAAACTATTAAAAAGGTTTGAAAGTTATTAGAAAATAGAGTACAACGGGTAGCAATTAACAGGTATAAATCTAACATATGTTGTAATTATTACACAATACCATTAGAAAGTGGTCAAATGTAACATATGTTATATTTGGGATTAGTAAAGTAAAGTACAGATTCTAGTACTTTTTAGGGTGGAGTCCCATCCGGGAAATGTCACAACATGAGCGACATGTGGTCGGGGATTATCTTTCTAAAGCGTGAAGATAGGTCTCTTTAGGCTGACATCGCAGACCTGTCAGATTGACAATGACAAGTTGTTTCCGACCAAGAGATGTGATGCTTCCCCATACCATAACAATACTGCCACCAAACTGTCAATGTTGAACAAAGCATATGTCAGCATACCGTTCACTTCGCCGTCTATACACACTTGCCCTGCCATCTGAGCTGTCCAGATGTTATCTCGACTCACCAGTGAACAAAACAACATCCAAATATTGTTTCCTGTACCAGAGATGCTGTCTGCACTAGCCAAGAAGTGCCTGTCAGCAGCGGAGCAAGACTTATTGCAGGCCGTCAGGGCCAGGCAGGTGTTGTGCTCCCTCAGTCGGTTCCGTACAGTCCTGAAACTGATAGGACGTAAGCCAGGAATGTCTGAGCAGTCAAACTCGCAGTCTGGAATCAATTCCTTGGATGGTTCAGACGAATGTGGTTGTCTTGCTGAAGTGATGTCATCCCTGGACGTGTTCCGATATTATGTTGAAAACATCTCCATGAGCTCCATGAGATCGTGTTTCGATGGACATCAAAATATCTGACCACTTCATTTTTGGCCATTCCATTCACCAGAATACCGATGGCATGAAGTATGCACAGTTTAGGTTGAAATTAACATGTTTTCCACAACATTCAGATGCTGAAGAAAAATCAACCATTCTTAAATTTTCAATATTTTCATTTTGCACAAAGTGCATGTGCCATGCGTGATAAGTGACATCAAATTTTATGCAAAGTGTTTTGGTACATGTTTACTTAGAGCTGATATTTATAACTTTTCAATCAACTTATATTTTATGCAATTTTATGTTATGCACAGTTGCTTTTTTCCATTAGTATACATAGGCTCTCTTCAAGTGTTGAATTTCATCATGAAGATTTGTGGAGCAGATGTTCTTTGCTCTTCTGGGTAGAGTGGAGATGATGCCAGTCTTAACTTTGGGAGGATGTATTGATTCATATGGGTAGGTTTTCTGTGCATAGTGGTCTGGAAGTGATTGGAGGAGGTATGAGACACAAGACTTCAAGGAAAGGAAGTTGCTTTTTCTGCTCAGTCTCCATTGTGAATTTGATGCGGGGATGTTGGTTGTTAAGATGGGTGAGAAGTTGAGTGGGATCATGATGAGGTTGGAGGAAGACTTAAGTATCATCCACTTTCCAGTCCCAGCAGGTTGGTTTGAAAGGTGCAGTTTGAAAGATTGTTGATTCGGTGGTGTAATGGCAGCAGGGCTTCTTCTCTCGGTATATCAGTAAAAGGTCTATGACATCATAGCTGACGATGGGGACTTGATTGGTAATATGATGGATTTTGCTACATAAATCAATACAGTCATTGATGAATGAGTTGGCAGATTTGCCTTATGCCTAGGTCACATATTCCTAATTTTTCAAAGGTCGCCGGCCAATGTGGGGCATTGATGGGTTTCAACGATGTTATGGCGTGCGACAGATTTTTGCCCACATCTGTGTTACATCGTCGCAGTAGTCACAAAACCAATGATGATCTGAAGAAACCCTTCCAGTCACTGACAGGTGGATGGCAGGGTATCTGAAGTATTGGGAAATATGGAAGGCTTAATTCATCAAGTGACTGAGGGGTCATCTTGCGGGAATCAGCCGGTCATCTCCTGATACCCGTACGGTATCCTTATGATGTAAACCAAATCGTTTGGTTCCTGGATGCCTGAATTAATATCGCCTGGTTCCCGCTCGCTAGAAAAAGAGCTCGCTCAATCAAAGGTGTTTAACTGCAAGTTATGTCTCACAATCCACATTTCAGTAGACTCGAAGAGAGGCAGAAGTGCAAGTGCTGTTGTGAATTTGAAAAAGGGAAGAAAAGGGGTGGTACCGGTCTTATGATGACCTATGCTGCTCAACCCATTCAGACCATTGTTTATACCCTGGACCAGGCACGTCAAGATTCCCGGTGTCTGAATGATACCTGTTCGGCGCCTGCTTGATACTTGCCAAGACTATGGTTGGTCACCTTCTGACTTAGTTTAATCGTACGGTCTACAAACGGAAACAATCCGAGTATTGATCGATTCCCGGCAGACAATCTTTCTGTTATCCTCTGGTGACCAAACCACACCAGCACACTGTAAAAAATTGTCCGATTCCCGGGCGGTCTGGCAGGTGCCTGTAGGGTCACTGGTGGGTTGCCGGAAGATGTGCGACAGATCCGTTACCGGTGGGAATGTGGACCACCGGTCGCCATAAGAAAAAATCTCCCGAGTTATTTTCTTCCTATTTGTCCACGGTGTGTGAATGGGGTCTTTCCAATGTCAAGAACACAGCCGATGCCCACGGATGATTGTCCAGCTCCCGGTCGGGTAGCTCTCAATTTTGCTGATTTTCAGCACAACCAGGCATCGTAAACTAATCTTTCATGGCAAAAGTGGATATGTGACCTAGGCATTATTGGGAGAGTACTTGGGTAAGGTGTTGGGCAGTATTATAAAACACAGTGCTATGGGAACAGGCTAGCAGACAGGTTTTCACATGGATCTATGAATCTTGACTGTGGTGGTTGAGAATGGGATATTGAGAGTTTTTTATACAGATCTATGGAGAGTTCATATTTCTCCCGCTGGGTTTTCAGGGTAGCCTTAAGCTGACAATCCAGTTTAGACATGGGGTCCTTCTTGATCTTTTATAGGTTGTGGTGTCGTCCAGCTGGCTGTCTGCCATGTAGTGGAAGGGGTGCCTGTAGAGGACAATGGCGGCTTTGCCCTTGTCTTGTCTCAATTGCTTGATGGCTTGTTTCTCAGCTGGGCTGATGTTGGTTTTTTTAAGTTAGGCCTTCCGCAGATTTCTGTTAATCATGTGCAGTTTAACTAAATACAGACCTGGGTTCGATTCCTAACATGGTACAATGTGTGAAGCCGATTTCTGGTGTCCCCCGACGTGATATTGCTGGAATATTGCTAAAGGTGGCATTAAACCATACTCACTCACTCTCTCTTACAACCATTTGTCATCTTAACCAATAGGTCTGTAAGTAATACTGATAGATACCATTGTATGTTTACAGCATAATCATTCAGCATTTGAATAGTATTGCCATCTCCAAACTTTGTTTATTTTCTGTTTAAGATAACTGTCTTGTACTCTTCACGTTTGGCATTATGCAATCAAACGATAACAACAGCCTTAGCATTGACTATCATGCAGCCATATTAATTAATTGTGAAATATTAATCACGGTTATTTCTTGCTAAATATGAAGCATTTCTACATGTTGTTATAAGAATCATAATTTAGTATGTTTCCCCAGTTGATGAGAAAGTATTAACAGTCACCTATTATTCAATAAAAATATTATAATGTGTTACATTATATATGGCCAATAATCTACCTGCAAATTGTAGTAATATAAATCATGTAATATCCATTTATTACATACTCATCAATATTTACTATAATTAGGTGTTCATTCTGGGTAGCCCCATGTGGTTTATCTACTGGGTGTATTGACATACTGTTGGAGCTATCCCCTATGGACTAGTATGATCATCCAGCAGGCGGTCATGCCCCACTTCCCTTAGCCACATATATCGTACAGGTCAGGTGTCCTGTTGTTGTTATTATTTCTACCAATTAAAACCGGCTTTCTATATCAAATACTCCAAATGTGCTTGGTATAAGTATTGCCTCACTCTGGGTTTACATATGTATTTTTATATTTTCCATGGGCCCCTGTTTAAGTGACTTTCACCTCACCTCAGGTGGGCTCCTATAAGTATCCTCATTATTGTAAATACTCCTTGAGATTGTGTGCTTATGTATGCACATATGCCTTTTAGTACCAATAATGTTTACATATTCTTTATAATATTATTTTCTCCAAAAAGTATTATCATCACATGCTGTATATCATTCAGATTATTATTAATAACCTTATTTTCACAATTGCTCTTTCTGCCTGCACTGTCAAGGTGACAACAAGCCATCTCAATCTGTGGATTGTATTTCTAGGGTTCATCTGGACTGTGCAGTAAGGACTTGCAAAACTGTTATCAAGCCTTTCATCACAATATATTATATTTACTGTCTTTTTGTGTCTTTGACTGGAGTACTTCGCGCAGTGGGCACACTTGCCCATCCCTTTTCTGTGAGAAGTAATTATTGCATAACAGTAGTAATTCACCAGGTCTTGCAATGGAAAAGGGAACCATACACTGGTAGTCTGCAACAACAAACTATTGATATGTCTGGGTTTTGTTGTCACATACCTCTCAGTCGTGAAAACTTACCTTGGATTATCAGATAATCTCAGGTAGCATCTAACCACATGCTTGAGTAACCTGGCTGATGGTTCTTTGGACAAATGTAGCACCATTTTACCCTGAAATGATTGAAACATTCTGTCAGTTATTTCTAAAAGAAAACAAAAACAAGGATGTTGAGCTCATCTGACCTTGAAAAAACTTCAACCATATTTACTGGTAAGTATGAATAAGTTTTTCATATTTGGGGAGTAAATTGTTGCAAAAGATTCCATGAAATATATTTTGACAACATAGTATACACTATGTACAGATCATAAAACTGCCCTGCTCTTACAGCTGCAAAGGTGTTTCCCTGAGTATTGGGTCATGTATCATTTAGGTGCTGTAACATATGTTACATTTGGGATTACACTTTCTTAGCAAAGTACAGATTCTAGTACTTTTGTTGGGTTGAGTCCCAGGGATTTACCTTGAGTCCTGTATTTGAGGGTTCCTGGGACTCATACTCTTAGTTTTCAAGGGTCCTGGACAACAAAATGAGGGTCCCAGACACTTAAATATTACTGTTATTGTATTGTGTATCTTGATCATCACATTGTTACAATAATTAGATAGCAAATAATACCATAACCCAGCTTGTAGCGAACTCAGTGATAACTTACTGTCACTTGATTGGAATTTTTACAAAATAGTATATGGACTTTGTGGCGTCCATTGTCAATTTTTATGAGTATAGGATGCAGGAATTCGCGTCCTGTAAATCCCTGGAGTCCCATCCGGCATTCGAACCCACACCCTCAGAGTCAGGCACCTAATCGCCAACACACAAAGTCAGCCGCCTAACCCGCTTAACCACCGAGACTTCCATCGTGTACAATGTGGGTTCGAATCCCTGATGAGACTCAACCCAACAAAATTACTAGAAACTGTACGTTACTAAGAAAGTGTAATCCCAAATATAACATATGTCACATTTGACCACTTTCTAAATGGCTTTGTGTAATCATAGGTGCTGTAGGTTACAAGATATTTTGGTGTTAAGTTTGACAAACCAATTGTGGAGAATGCAGGCCTGCTGCCTGTGAGCTTGCTTGAAGTTTTTTTCTTCCTTTTAATCACAAATCAATATTTTGCCAACACATTCCTTTCAAGAGCTTCCCTGAATGTTGCTCGAACAATTTCTTTTCAAAGTCAAATTGGTTTCAGTTGGTTTTGATCAAACATCTTTGCAGTGTAGCATGTAGAGGGAGCCTAAAATTTATTTGACCAGATTTGTACATTTTATCACCAATGGATGCGAGCATTTTTACTTTGGTTCCATATATGCTGTACGTCAAGGTAAGAATTCAAAATATTGTAAATGACTGAAAATATGCATTAGGCCCCATTACTTACTGTAGCTGAGCCAACTTCCAATGGACAGTTAATTTCCTGTTAGTATAACACCTATTTCAAACTCAGGTAATTATTCTGGCAAGATCGTATTGCAATATATTGTGATTCAGATACCTGTATTGCGATACATATTGCAAAATATTTGGTACTTAAGTGTTTGACAATAACTGACACTAATTGTACATGCCGATCATATGTTCTACAAAAATAGATGTGAGATGCTCATTTGGGTTTGATGATTTTTTTCTGTTTTGGGGGAACACAGTTCAGGAAGAGTCCACTTCTGTTTGGGAGAATGAAGAGACAAGCCAATACAATGAGTCAGAAAAGGGAAGAAACTACTAAATTGTTTGTAACGATGACAGTAAAGCATGCACTACTCAGAATGTATGCAATAACCTTTAGAACATGACTAGACATGACTGATCAGTGAGTTCAGAAGATAAACATGATATGACATCCCTGAGTTGTCAAAACACTGCCGTGGTGGTAAGATTTAGGCAAAATCTAAACCATCCTATTTACATGAGGTTCCATCGTAACAAGTGTTCTTTGCGCTGTATCATCCTGATAGCCCAGAAAATATGAACTGCAAGTAAGGAAAAGGTACATACCAAAATCATTGCAACATGCGAAAATCTCTCATAAGTTTGGCAGATATAGGCAAGACCCGTATCGTCCAAAAGTATCTTTTGTAGGATGAATGTTGCAACCTGAAATTAGATGAAAAGACCTAAAGCAAAAGTAAAGTAAAATGTTAACAATTTTGCATGTTGTACAATGTCACAGTATTAGTAAAATCTAAGTATTTGTCATATTTGTACTAATTATCCTGCACTATTCACTTCCTGCTTATGACTCAAAACATGGCTGACTGACGATGTTGAAATGCAGAACTGCGATTACATTCTGGTCTACTTGCTGGAAAATGACATCAGCTACCTCTGATTATTGCTGCAAATCCAGCAGATGAAGACAAAGCGGCACAAGCCCTCATCCCTGGTAGTGCAGGATAAGTATACAAATATAATATTTTTTTTACTGAATTATTATCCAATCCTGCACTACTTACTTCCTGCACTTTAACAGAAAGGAGGTGTGTCATCTGTGGGGATCGCCTCACTAAGTAAACAAATCCACCTCAGTTAATGCCATCATGCGAGCGGTGTTGGTGGAAAGCTGAAATTGTAACTGGGAGAGAGCTGACAGTGAGTGACAATCTCTCTGTAGTAATTTTATTGTCGATGTGACGTTAAATCTTAACTCACTCACTCACTCTGTAGTAATTCAGTTATAAGACATAAAGGCTTGACTGGAAATAACCCAACGATTTTACAAGCATTATCAGCTTTAGGGAAATGCTTGATAGACTTGATTTTCACAAAGGGTTACTCCATGACTAACAAACCCAGTTGTTTCCTCAGAACAGCTCTGTCCTTGAACAGCACTTGAGGTCACTTCCTTCGGCGAAGGGTGAGCTGCTGGGCAAACACCAATGGCCTTAAGCTGTGGACATTGTTAACATCTTTCACTGACATGTCAAATAGATGATGATTGGCAAAGACTGCATCTGACCTCCAGAAACACTCATGCATTATCGACGACATTGTACAATAGTGGAGGCCAGTGCCTGAATTTCATGAGGATGGTGCCACAGGTGATGGCACAGGAGGCGCCGGAGACGGCAGGAGCACATTTGGCACTGCAGGTATAAACAGCAGAGGTGCTGTAGTATCGGACTGCCCTGTTAACAAGGTCAGGAGTGAACTGTATGTTGACACATCCAGTGGCTGTTGGTAGTGCTTTAAAGGGGTAAGGCGCAAGCCTTGGAAATGCTGGAAATGGCTGCTGCGAAGACGCTAAGTAAGGCATAAACTGCTGTTCCATCAGTCGCTGTTGAAGTGCGATGGCACAGGCTGCATCAGGGTGGGAGGATACGTAGTGCTAGGCACTGGACTGCTAGTGGAAATCAATGGCATGGCAAGTATCTGGAAGATCACCACAGGCACATAGAGGCAACAAGCACTGAAGCACTGGTTGTGTGGGTGGTGGTCATCAACACTAGTCAGAAGGGAATACTAACACTGGCAGAAAACTTCACTGAAGCGTTATCCAATATTATCCTGTTGTTCGGACTTGAGCTTCTTAGAAATCTCTTCACAGAAACGGTGGTGACAGATGAGCGCATTTAACATAGGGAAAACACTGAGGGTGCAATTCAAACAGCACAAGTGAGTGTCCTTGCGATATTCCCTGCCCCTACAAACTATATAGTGTGTACCGTACATAAATCTACAATAAAGCAGAAACCTCAGTAAACACAAAGGTTAATACATTACAATACTACAATAGTGATAAACGTCTAGTGTTTAAAACAAATCCCATCACTAATAGAGTTTCTAGAGAAAAAACAAAATGGATGGGTAATAACTCCACTTTCTTGAGGACAAAAAGAAAAAGTCAAGAGTACTTATTTACTTGAGGGTACAGTGATTAAAGCTGGTAAAGCACGTGTCAAGCAAGGCAATATTCAGTGGTGGCTGATATCACCTTCCAGTGATGTGTGTGCAGGCAGATGCTTATCTGAGAATGAGATCAGGAATTGATCGCACATATCAACATAGAATTTTAAGGAATAAGTGCAGAAGTAAGTAATGCTGGATTAGATACAAATTTCAAGTTATAAGCGTGCAGTCTGTAAAACATGGAGTCTAGACAAGACAATTCAAGATCTGATATTGTAAGCAAAGACCCACAACAACAAGACGCCTCGTCTGTCCGTCCATAATCATTTGGTTTACGAAGCATAACTAAAAAACCATTCAATATTTCTCAACAAAACTTGGCAAATATACATAAAATATAAATGCCAAAAATCCTCTAAAATAGCAAAAGGCAAGTTTTCTAAGGAAAGTTTCAGTGAATAGTTTTTGATCTTGCATGAGCAATTCAGAATCCAGTTGTGTTGCAATGCTTAAAAACCTTACTAAATAGAGTCCTTTCGACTGTTCACAATTTGTTTATTGCTTTAAAGTTCCAATGGGCTCCCTGACTGCCCAAATTTCAGAGTAATGATTTCATTGAGGTCAAAGAAGTTTAATGTTACAGAAAAGGACAGACAGAAGGGAGACAACTCATCAGGTTTGTTTGACCTTGTGCAACAAATTACTGAAGATATCTGAATGTCTTGCTAGTTTAATCATCAAAAGGTATGTTTGTTATTTGATTTGAGAAAAATGTGTGACATCTTCCAGATCTGGTGAATCATCCTGGACATTTCAACATATTGCTATAAAGTCTTTATGAATATCTATAAATCATCAGAATCTCATGACAAGCTTTTGGTGCTGGATCATAACACACTTTCAAAATGTCTTACTGTTTTTGACAGTTCACTGCCTGATTCCATGATTCTCAGACACAGGGGAATGATTTCAGTGTTCAGCAGAAAGTTGATAACTTCTTGCTCATCAGTCTGAAAACAAAAACAACAGTATACCATCAGTCTAAGAAAAGTTGTCATGCCAAAAAAGAAGTATACTGACATCAAATTTGATATTTTTAGACTAAGCCCAAATCATTTCAATGGAAATCTAGAAAAATAAAATGACAAAAATCTGCAAATAGCAAAAGGCACCACATTGGAACCTGTTTGATATATCTGTCAAGTTTTGTTAAAAGATATTAAATGTTTTTTCAAGTTTTATGCTCTGGAAACCAAGCACACCCCTCCCTTTTGAGACTAAGTCTAAATCGTTTCCATGGAAATCAAGAAAACTAAACTGTGATAAAAATCAGTAAACAGCAAAGAGCACCACTCTACGTTCTGTTTGTTGTATCTACCAATTTTTGTTGCATTATTTCCTTTTTGGAGTTAATACTCCGGAAACAAATTATTAGACCAGCCGAGAAAAAAATAAACAAACTGATAAAAACAATTAAAAATACAAAATAAATTGATGAAGGAGTAAGGATATACTCTAAAAAAGGTGTGTTCCTCATAATAAAGAAGTTGACATCCATAAAACTCTCTTCCCCATGACACTGTGTATCACTTCTAAATGTCATTCAAAGACCTGAGGGTGATGTTATCCGGAACCTGAAAGGGGATGGCATGCTATAGGGCACCTGACAGGTGATGCTATAGGGAACCAGAGCAGAGATGGTATCGGGAACCTGACAGGTAATGCTATTGGAAACCAGAGCAGAGATGCTATAGGGAACCTGACAGGTGATGCTATCGGGAACCAGAGCAGTGATGCTATAGGGAACCTGACAGGTGATGCTATATGGGAACCAGAGCAGAGTGATGCTATAGGGAACCTGACAGGTGATGCTATAGGGAACCAGAGCAGAGATGGTATCGGGAACCTGACAGGTAATGCTATCGGGAACCAGAGCAGTGATGCTATAGGGAACCTGACAGGTGATGCTATCGGGAACCAGAGCAGTGATGCTATAGGGAACCTGACAGGTGATGCTATAGGGAACCTGACAGGTGATGCTATCGGGAACCTAAGGGGTGATGCTATAGGGAACCTGACAGGTGATGCTATAGGGAACCAGAGCAGTGATGCTATCGGGAACCTGACAGGTGATGCTATAGGGAACCTAAGGGGTGATGCTATAGGGAACCTGACAGGTGATGCTTTCGGGTACCAGAGCAGTGATGATATAGGGAACCTGACAGGTAATGCTATCGGGAAGCTGACAGGTGATGCTTTCAGGCACCTGAGGGGAGATGCTATCAGGAACCCGAGGGGCGATGCTTTCAGGAACCTGAGGGGAGATGCTATCAGGAACCCGAGGGGTGATGCTTTCAGGAACCTGAGGGGGGATACTATCAGGAACCTAAAGGGTGATGTTTTCAGGAACCTGAGCGGGATACTATCAGGAACCTGAGGGGTGATGCTTTCAGGAACCTGAGGGGAGATACTATCAGGAACCTGAGAGGTTATGCTTTCAGGAACCTGAGGGGAGATACTATCAGGAACCTGATGGGTAGTACTTTCAGGAACCTGAGGGGTGATGTATTCAGGAACCTGAGGGGTGATCCTATGGGAACCCGAGGGGTGATGCTATCAGGAACCTGAGGGGAGATACTATCAGGAACCTGACGGGTGATGCTTTCAGGAACCTGAGGGGAGATACTATCAGGAACCTGACAGGTGATGCTTTCAGGAACCTGAGGGGAGATACTATCAGGAACCTGACGGGTGATGCTTTCAGGAACCTGAGGCGAGATACTATCAGGAACCTGAGGGGAGATACTATCAGGAACCTGACGGGTGATGCTTTCAGGAACCTGAGGCGAGATACTATCAGGAACCCGAGGGGTGATGCTTTCAGGAACCTGAGGGGAGATACTATCAGGAACCTGACGGGTGATGCTTTCAGGAACCTGAGGGGAGATACTATCAGGAACCCGAGGGGTGATGCTTTCAGGAACCTGAGTGGAGATACTATCAGGAACCTGACGGTTGATGCTTTCAGGAACCTGAGGGGTGATGTATTCAGGAACCCGAGGGGTGATACTAGACAGGTGATGCTATCCATTTACACAAGTTCAGAAAACAATCTCCCCATGTAAATGTTTCTCTTTGCATGCAGAATAATGACTGAAGGTAACCAGAAACCAGATATGTTCAAGGTGAGAAAACTTAAGGCGAAAACCCCTGGCTAGCAGTAAATAGGACATCTGTTGAATTATCACATTTCTTGTGGCAAGAGGACACCCTAAATGCAGGATTATGGCTTTGTTGTAATACAGATAGAGTATTTGTATGAATTTTGGGCATCATCTTTATCACTGAAGCATAAAATCAACTTACCTTGACTAAAGCACCAATAACACCAAGACTGGTAAGTCGGAGATATTCGAAAGGTCTGGTCTTACTGACAGTGTGAAGGAATGGATACAGGAAAAGTGGTATATGAGCTGGAAAAAAAAAGATTTTGAAGATTTCAATCTGTACGTTATGAAAAAAATAGATTGTGAGATTGGAAATGGTCCTTATTGACATAATTGATAGAAACAAATTTAAGTAATACTTGGCAGCACTGCTGTTTTACTCAGATGTTTGAGGCACTATGATAAAACATGTTCCCAAACTGTCTGAAGAGATGGCTAAACGGGCATTGCATTTAGATGGCTTATTCAATGCTAACGCTCTCAACTACTTGAAGTATGTTACAGATACAATTATTCTCACATCACTCTAATGTAGACCAACCTTTCTGACTAGAATAATACCAGCTAATTGTCTCAAAACATCAACCAACAGCCAACTCCTCAATGTAAATAACGTAATATTTGGAATTACAAATTATTATACATTTCTTCTGGAACTGTTTGGGAATAATCCCATCTGGGATTCCAACCCACTCTCTCAGAGTGAGGAACAAAATCACCAGGTACATGCCATTGAACTTATATGTCTCCAGATAGGACTTGAGACACAAATGGTTGCAAATGAAAATATATCTTGTTTGAGAGTGGTTGTGGGTGCCACGAGGATGCAGAAAGGCATGTATCATACTGACTACTCACATACCCATAAGTACCCAAAACTCATACAAGTGAGAAACAACACCTGTAAGTGTGTCCAGTGTAGTTGATACCAAAGGACATGAACCAAGTCCACATGAACAAGGACATGTAAGGAAGCATCCAGGAGGTCCAACTATGCCATGGTGTTCACATTGTTGAAAATGCTATGGTAAACTTGGTTACCATGCCAGAGTTTTTAATGGATACTCCATTCAGACACTATATACAGCTCCGGAGGTGGACCGTCCTCCTTATATCCCCTTAATGCTGAGCACCAGGCAGAGTTATATCAAGTACCATACTGTAATGTCTTTGGGTATAAGAGGCCACTGTACAAACTGTGCACACAAATTACATTACACTTGATACAAAACTGGCTGACTAACAGCTTTAATGGGGTTTCAATAAGGCCGTCATGGTGTAGTCAAGATGGCAGCAAACAAAGTCAATTCCAGTGTGAAAGTGTGGTTTCTGAGGAGAATATGTTTTCAGACATCTTTGACATCAGGAACCAGACAAGAAGGCTAAGATGAAAGCTCAACTGACTTTCAGTCCTGTATGCCAAAAGGTGATATGCAAAGAGATACTTTACAAACCTTGCAGAAAAGCTGACCTTGTCTCTGGATGGGAAGCAACACACTGCAGCAATGCAAGAGCGTTACACACTCTGTTGGACTGAGATGCCTGAAATAATGACAATAAATATTTCTCAATATACATCATTAGTGCTTATAAGCACTTTGACAAAAGGCTAAGGTTTGCTTTTTTGTATGTTTGTTAACACCACACTCAGAAATATTCCAGCTATTGTGGTAACAGAGCGAGTCTGGACCAGACAATCCAGTAATCAAATCATGAGCATCAATCTACGCAATTGGGATATGATGACATGTCAACTAAACCAGCGAGCCTGACCACCTGATCCTGTTAGTCGCCTCCTACGACAAGCATGGGTTGCTGAAGACCAATCCTAACCCATATCTTCTACTATGGTAGATATACTGGCAGTTTGAACAATAGTCACTTCTTATTACATTTGTACCGGTATTAGATGATAAAATATTGTCTTGATTCCTGAATCACGGAGCATACAGATGATATTTCTATTATCAGCTTTAGTGGTTCATTCCAGATTTTCAGGGTATTTCAGCATACCATGGTGATGAGAATCATCTTTAATTCAGTCAGGTATCATTAATCATGTCCAATACAATATTAATCTTCATTGGTATAAGGCTAGTTGGGCACCTGACAAGAAGGAAATTGAAACAAACCACACGTCCAGTGTCTTGTCGCAAGTCAGCCGTGTGCAAACACTCAATAAAACGTAAACTGCTGGTACTGTTGTATCAAGTTTTCAGTACATGTATAGTTTCTTAAAAAGAAAGGCACAAAAAAATGTAGTGAGCAAACACGACCTACAAATCTCACAACATTCCGATTGCACAGGCAGAAGCTCCTGGCAGTAACAAGATATGAGTAACTCCGAGCAAGATCCACCTAATTCCAATGAAATGGCAGTAGGAGAAGACATCATCAAGCCCAACTTCAATCTGACAAACCAGATAGTACATTATCAAAGGCACTGGTTAATCCATTGATGTGCTCAATATATGAAACAGTTAATCAGTGTAAATCACCAGATGGCTAAACAAGGGAACAGTACCAAAAGGTTGTCCACTGAAAAGAGGCCATGTCATTGAATCTCTGACAACTGTGATGAATAACATCAAAACACCGGTGCATCTAATCGACACTGTAAACAGATAGAGCAAACAGTGGCTTGCCTCAAGAAATAAGTAAAATGGCTGAAGAAATCTGAACTCTTTGACAGACAAACAAGAATACAGGTCATCATATGTCAAGGCTGATGATGCAATCAAGATACCGCAGAACAGGGACATTATGAACCAAAAGACACCATATAACTCTGTTCTTTATATACTGATACATTGTTTGTTACATATGTTTTTCCTTGGAAAAGGCTGCCATATTGGGCAAACAAAAACAGTTGTGGCATTGACTTTTGCCTTTAACAATGTTTAATGCATATTTTACAGCCATGATAAAAGTTTATTCCCATCCTCCCCCCTATATGGCATCTTCCTTGAATACAAAGGGACAAGGTGATTTACTACCACACAAGATAATGATTCATGTGTAGATCGAGTCTAAAGATATTTGACACTTTCTGTGTATACAGATGTGTGTTGTGTTGTCACAAATACAATTGGAATTGTCCACATTCTTCACATATTAGAGGACTTCAGAACAACAGATGTACCAGTTGCATATAGTGACTACCTTCAGGGAAAACTGTGTGAAGAATCCTGGCCAAAAGACCTCAGGGCCTGCCAAGTTAAAGGAACTGCATGTAATCACAATGCATGTAATAATTTGGGGCTACCTCTAACCAACAAAAGCATAAGGTTTTTGTTTGACAATATGGCAACTAGGCAGATATTATGAACATCTTGATCCAGTTCATTATTTATAATGTGCCTCCTGTGTTGCACTGATAGTTGATGCATGCCATGTTCCTGGTAGATTAAATATTACAGGAGATGATGTCTTGTTTTTAGCTGGCCAAGTTTTGTCTACCAGCTCCCAGAGCAGACATGTTCAAATATGTAATTTTTCAAAATTGATATTTTATACTTATCCTGACTCATGATCTTTTGCTTATCTCCCTTTCCCTTGCTAATGGTAGTGGAACACTTGAATCCCTTGAAGTTCCTGAAGCGGATGTAAAAATAAACTCACCCACGAGTTACCTTTCTTTTCCCGCGTAAACAGTCATGTGACCAGCCTTACTTGTCACTCTCTCCTGATTTCCTGCCCATGCACTTGGATCTGCTGTGAAATCCGAAGTGTTTCCAGCGGGGAGGTTGGGAGGGCTTGACCTCATGAGTCAGGATAAGTATAAAATATCAATTTTACTTGAAAAATTACATATTTTTTCTTATCCTGACTCATGATCTTTTGCTTATAGAATCCTTCGGATTGGTGGTGGGTCAGGCCACTTCATGGATTCATCAGCTGTCCTTAGATACATCCTGTATCCCCCCATGGGAACTGCGTTACAGCATTTCCAGGATCCTATTCTTCCAACTTCTGTTATAACTCGGGGGAACCACTTTCTTGTCTTACTTCAATCTCAGACAAGTTTAATCATGTTGATTCATGTGGCTTCAGATATACTAGTATCTTCTTATTACTAGATATCTATAACAACCCATAGATTATGATAAGATCTTTATCATAAATGAGTTGCGACCCCTTCATGTACAGGTAAGATCTTTACCCGTACAGGGTCTTTAATCACTCATGCTAGTCTGTCCTAGACTGTGCGCATGGGCTTTCAAACTAATACTTTTCCTTAGTAAAAGTTATCAACAAGTCAACTTGATAAAGGGTGAGATTTTCCAACTCAGCGCCTTTGTGGAACCGTTAGTTGCTGTGCTACAACGAGAGGCCCAAATTGGTGAATGCCTGTCTTCGGTGGCTTTGTCTCGGAGGTAGTGGTTGGCAAACACTGTATCCGATTTCCAAAAGCAGCCCTCCATAATTGCTGAAATAGAGCAATTTCCGTGCAAAGCTAATGTTGACGCCAGTGCTCTGACTTCGTGTGGGTTGGAAGCTCTAGGAGGTTCTAGTCCTGCTGCTTTATAGGCTCTCAATATGACGGCTCTCATCCAGAACGATATTATCGTTCTTGAGACTTCTGCTGATGTCTCTGTGGATAATGGGATGAATTTTCGTCTCCTTGTTTTAGTCTTTTGAAGATATATCTTCAGGGCTCTGACCGGACACAAGGATAGGTCCTCCATATCCTCTGGTCCGAGGATTGTAGATAATGCTGGTACGTGGAACTGTCTATCTGGTTGACCAGGTACTGTATACATATTATATATCGTGCAGGTTTTATTTTCGCTTTTCGTGCAAAATATTTTAATGCGAAAATTTGTACACAGCGAATAAACCTTTCATTCATTCATTGTATTATTTACAGGGATTAAGATTAACGTGTGTATTTGAGCCAGAAATAGCAATCAGCTGTGCACATGTATCCCGGCGATCAAGTTCAAACATGCACAATAATATAACTGGACAAATTCTGACGCAGTAATCAGTAAAATATAATACAGAGTACTATTATTTAACCCAAAGAAATATAACCTAGCATTGTGTAATTTTAATTACAGTTTTTGCTGTATAAATGTGAAATATATATAATCAACACTAAGGTTATACAGCCCCTCATGAACGTGGTAAGTTGTACGCACATGGAATGGGGTAAAATAAGGGTATTTTATTTATTCATTAAGATTATATTAATATTTATTCCTGCATATCACGAAATGAAATCACAAAATGCTTCATATATGGTAGAAGTTCATTTCCTTGATAGTCAATTAATACATCAATCATCACATTCACAACAACCCGGCATGTTTGAAATTACGCGATTACGACTTCGGCCTCAGTGTCATCATTGCAATTATTTGGATCTGGAAGTCCAGGTGTCTTGGGGGTAGGTGCTTTCTAAGGCCTAAGAGACAGCTGGCATTTCCGGCAATTACTGATTGCGCGAATAATTGACCGCGCGATGTAGTCTAAACTGTCAATTCCGCGAAATTTGCGCCAAGCGGAAAAAAAGTACATTACAGTAGTTGGTTCTTGGCAATGAAGTCCCATCTAAGTCCTAGATGAACTGCAGCATGTTGCCCCCTGTTGAATCTGGTTCGACCAAAGTCCAGCGCATGTATCTCTGATATTCGAGCTGCCGTGGCTAGCGCAAGCAGGAACAGAGTCTTCTGTGTTAGCAGCTCAAAGGTAGTCTGATCTAGAGGTTCGTAGGCATCACTCGTAAGATGACGTAAGATCCCAGGCCGGAGCTCTGAACTTCTTTTGCTGGTCCTCCAGTTTAAAAGATCTCAGCAGAGCAAGTAATTCTGGTATTTTTGTCAACTTGATGCCTGTTTTCATGTTGATCACTGTACTGATGGCAGCGAGGTATGTAGATATTGTCGAACCTTTCAGATGTCTAGTCTGTATAAGATGACACAGGTATTCCGCCACTTGAGGATGAGTAGCTTTCATAGCAATGAAGCCTTTCCGCCTTGCATAAGTCTCAAACTTCAACCACTTGTCATCATACAGGTTACAGGATAAGAATAACTTATCATGCCTCCCTATCAAACAAGTTTACAAGCCTATACCCTAGACTTGGACCTTCTTTGGAACCTTACTGAAGACCAGTGTTAGCAACTACAGTTATTTGATTTTCTCAAGTGAATTATTCACCTCCCCTTCTGTATCACAATCGACTCGCCCCAATCCACTCGCAAAGTTTACTCGCCGTTAACTTTATTCATGGAAGTAATTGTTAATGACGACGCTACTATTCCCAATCTGGATAAGACCAGCTTTTATGTGGGAAACCTGGACAGTGGAAGTGGAAGTTGAAGGACTGGGCATTACGGCGGGGACGGAAGCGGACAGGTTAGGACGTGTGTTGTTGATGTCATGTCCGCTAGACCCAGTTTGAAGTATGGCGTCGGAATACGCCGCTTTTGCGCTGCTGACGAATCAGTGTTATATGAGGACAGACTCTGGCAGATTTTGTGCCCAGTAATCTTAACTATTTCCCTTGCTTCCACCCCAGCATGTGAAAGCAGTGT